AAAAGATAAAAACTCTTAGGTGGTAATAAAAAAACAAAATGTAACCATAAAAGATAAGTAAGATTAACTAAAATGGTTAAAAGTGAAAGAACGGCCAAAGAATACAGGAATCAAAGTATTTTCAAAAATATAGAATTCATTTGAAGGGCAATCCAGGAAGTCATTTTATAGTCACAATAAATCACAATAAAGATTTAATAGTAATAAGCTTGTAGACATCAAATAATGCTGCAACAAAATACTTCAAGAAAAGTTATTAGAAATATCAATATATGTTGTCACAAACAAAGAGTAATGGGATATTTTAAGAACAACTCTGAATCAGAGAAAAAGTTAGAAAAAACTTGAATACTGCAATTAGTTTTCTTAGTCGATTTTTATTGTGCTTTGCTTTTGAGAGAATAAACTTTCTTTTCCAATGCCAAAGTAGTGTTTTCCAAAGTTGAGATAAAGTTTATACTATATACAAAGAAGATTCTCATCAAAAAGCAGTAGCCCCTAGGTCCTCTTTCTTACACCTAAAAAATCCTTGGCCTAATGCAGCAGATAAGCATAGGGAGAGCTCTGAAAGGCGGATGTAAGGAGGCAGATTGCTTAGGAGCCTCTGAATGGGACGAAGTTTAGCTCCTGTTTTTTTTGTTGCCTCCCGTAAATCCCAGCAGCCTCCAAGTGGAACCACTAGTAGACACAGACAAACACGCTCCAAGATAAGCCTGCTCCCCTTAGCTACAGCGTCAGGAAAAAGGACGCCTAGCCACGGAAAACTTTTGGGAGCACCTACTCTCATCCAATCAAGCACCAGTGGGAGAAGAACACCGCCCCCTGTGGTTTCAGTGGGGAGAGCAGGGAACAAGAGGCCATGCTCCTCTCCCCACCAGTGGTGTCAGTGGGGCTGAGGAAAATCCGACCCTTCCATCCCCATTCCTGGCAGAAGAAGGCAGTGTTCTGATTACCTGTCTGGCTGGTGTGGGTGGGCTGAGCAGGGAGGTGGTCTTCCATAACCCTGCCTGGTGGAAGCCAGTGGTACTCCGATTCTCCTTAAGGTAGTGTCCTGCTAGGGGTGTGCTGAGCCTCCAACCCCACCTGGCAGCTACAAGGCTTAAACAGTGGTGCAAGGTGGGGCTTGTCACTACTCCATGCACCCTGCCCCTCATATCCTGGGGGCCCAGAGGAGAGCTGAACCTCCACCTCCACAGGCAGCAGGGGGTACAAAGCAGGATAGCTGATACCCTGCTTGCCCCGTCTCCTAACCCTGGTGTCAGAGAGCTACCCTGGGGAGCTGAACTCAGAGACAACAATGCTATGCAAGTCAGTGCCCCATTTCACCAAAGGGGCTGCTGAAGTTCCCCTTCGCCATCCACAGTGAGGCATGTACATGCTCCACCATTGCCAATGCGGGAGTCAGCGGGTCCAGCAAGAAGCAAACATACCACCCACCTGGCCCTCGTGCTGCATCTCAACAGGAGTCGGCTTAACAGAGAAACTTAAATAGGACCCAGAGTTTCATCATAGCCCAAATGCCCAAGATATGATTGAAAATCATTTGTCATTCCAAGAGCCTGGGAGATCTCAAATTGAATGAAAAAAGACAACAGATGCCAATACAAGATGAATCAGAGGTCAGAGTGATCTGACCTGGATGTTGAAACACTCATCATAAAAATGCCCAGAAACAAATGGAAAAGAATAGAACTTACAAAAACAAAAACAACAACAACAACAACAACAGAACCAAATGGAAATTACAGGACTAAAAACAATCTAATAAACACTCACTAGCCAGGCTTATTAGTAGAACAGTGACAACAGAAACCACCTAATCCAAGCATCAGAGAAAATAGACTGAAAAAAATGAAGTCTCGGGTACCTGTAACAGAAAAGAGCTAATGTGTGTATTATTGGAGTCCCAAAGGGATAGGAGAGAAAGTGAGGAAGGAAGAAGTACTCTGAGACATAATAGTCGAAAAGTTCACAAATTTGGTGAAAGATAGACATCGACAGATTTAGGAGGCTGAGCAAACCCCCAGGTTGGATAAATCAAAGAAATCCATGTTACATCAGTTAGACTTCTGAAAACTCAAGACAACAAACAAGTCTTGAAAGCTGCAGAGAGAAAGGACGCAGTACTCCGGAGGAATGATCCGAATACCTGTGGACTTCTCCTCTGAAGTCTTGGAGGAAAGAAGGAAGTGGGAAGACATTTTCGAGCACTGATAAAAAGAACTGTCAATGGCAAATTCTGTATCAGCAAAAAATATCCTTTGGGAATTAGGAAGAAAATAAAGATATGCTCGGACGAAGAAAAACTAAGACTTTGTGACTAGCAAACCCATCCTCAAAGAATCAAAAAAGAAAGTACTCGAAACAAAAGAACTCACAACAGAAGGGATGCAACCTCAAAAAAGAAAAAGAACATCAAAATGGGTTAAAAAATATAACAGACTTTCTTTCTCATGAGTTTCTTAAACCTTGTTTGGTGGCTGAGGCAAAAATTATAACACCATCTGATGTGGTACTCAACGTATGTAGAGGAGATACTGAAGATAATTATATTTTTTAATTGAGGCTGCTAAAGGACTTTGCTTTTTATACTCTACTTGAAGTGGCAAAACACAGATTCAGGGAGATATCAATAACTTACATATGCATCATGCAATACCTAGAGCAACCACGAATAAAACTACACAAAGCTGTATATTAAAAGAGCGCTATAAGTAAGTCAAGACGGGATTCTAAAACATACTCAATGAACCACAGGAAGGTAAGACAAGAGAAAGGGGAACGAGAAACCAGAAGAAACAAACAAAAAACAAACAATAAAATGGCTGGCTTAAACCTTAACATATCAATAATTATATTAAATGCAAATGATCTAAATATACCAGTTAAAGACAGAGATTGGCAGAGTGCATTAAAAAATATGTTCTAACGATATGCTGTCTACAGGAAACTCACTTCAGTGTGATGTAGGTGGACTGCAAGTGAAAGGACAGAAAAAGTTACATCTTGCAAATGATTTCAAAAGCAGGACTGGCTATATTCATAGGTAAAATAGACTTCAGAACATAGAAAATTACTAGAGACAAAGAGGGACAGTGTACAATGATAAAAGGACCAATCTACCAATAACACATAATGATCCTAAAAAGAAAACACCAAAAAAGTCTCAAAATACATGAAACAAAATCCAATAGAGTTCAAAGGAGGAACAGACAATTGTAGTTGGGATCTTCAATATGTACTCTTAGTCGGGGTGTGGGTACAGCTTAGGGGTAGAGTGCATGCTTGGCATGCACAAGTCCTGGGTTCAATCCCCAGTGCCTCCAACAAAAAAATAATAAACAAACAAATAAATAAACCTAATTACCTCCCCCCACCAAAAAAAAAGAACAAATACTCTTAGCAATTGTCAGAACTACTAGCAAAAACTCAGCAAGGTGTGGAAGAATCGACCAACCAGATCTAACTGAGACGACATATATAAAACACTCCACCTACCAATACCGGAACAGCACATTTTTTTCAAGGGTCCATGGAGCATTCCCCAAAGTAGACCATATGCTGGATCATACAACAACTCTCAAAAAAACCTAAAAGAATCAAAATCATAGAGTATATTGTGTGACTCTAATGGAATCCAACTGGATGTCAATTCTAAAAGACAGAAAATTATTCAAAATACTTGGAAATTAAACAATCTATTTCCAAATAATCCAAGAAGAAAGTCTCAAAGAGGAAAGAAAAATATGTAGAACGGAATGAAAATGAAAATTCAATATACTAAAATAAGTGGGATGCAGCTAAAGCAATATTATTAAGATATTAACTCTCTCCAAATTGACTATAGACTCAATGCAGTTCTAATTCCGTTATTCCTATAGACTTAATGCAATTTCATTTGAAATACCAGTAGGCTTTTTGTAGAAATTGACAAGCTCTTTCTAAAATATACATGAACAGGTGAAAGACCTAGAATAACCAAAACAATTTTTAAAAAGAAAAAGAATAGAGTTCAGAAATAGATCCAAAAAAAAAACAAACTGTCAACTGATTTTTGACAAAGGGGCCAAGACAGGACAAGGAAAGTCTTTCCACAAATGCTGTTGGATCCACATGGAAAAAATGAACATTGTCACCTCCCAGTATCACAGAAATTAACTTAAACTGAAGTTAATGTAAAACCAAAAACCTTAAAATTTCTAAAAGAAAACATAGAAGGAAATATTTGTGAACTTGAGGTAGGCAAAGCTTTCTTAGATAAAATGTAAAAAACATGAACCATACAAGAAAGCGTGATAAATTGACCACCAAAATTTAAAATTTTGCTTCATG